ACCCAATCCAAAAGACAAGGGGATTCTGAATCAAGTATTGATGCAAAATAGCCTCTATGGAAGACCTTTTGATGGAATTAACCCGCATTTGCGTTACATGGAAAGAGAAAGCATGGAAACATGATCCGTCTACCGCTGAGAAAATTTTACTTCAGCACTGTTGTCGGTGTAGTTCGGGAGTAGAATTCGTATAAATCAAGCACAACTGGTATTCGAACCTGGGTTACCTTATTAGAAGGCAAATGCTCTATCCTTTCTGAGCAGCTGCTGCTCTATGGCAGTAGATTGATATGGTTGACTCAAATAAAAAAACAACCATTGAAATAACAATCTTTATTTAAAAAAAAACAGTGTATATATGTCTTAAATATTATAAAAATCTGTAAAATCATTCGATGTTTTTTTTCCAAATAACATGGCTAAAACATGGATTAACTATAGCCGCACTTTTTTTCTCCAGTAGAAATGTGAGCACAATTAATTTTTTTTAATTTTGATAGTAATTGCATACGTCAACACTTGAGGTTTGTATAGAATTTATAGGTTTGTATTATTTATCTGCTGAACTGGTTAAAATAATATTAACTCACGTTTATTGAATCAAGAATGAAATATTCGAATACAAATTTCACCAATGCTAAAACGATATTCCACAAAAAGTGTAAAAAGCTTACAGCTATGGTATTAATTTGTTTTATTTAGAAATGCTTAATGTAAAATATAGCAGGAAAATTGTTTTCATTACAACATCCATCTAATGGATGCAAAACTATCATGCATTCCATATTGCAAAATTTTTTATTTTACAATCATAAGTTTTAAGAAAAATTGAAAAGATTATAGAGAGTTTAGGAAAAGCTATGAAAAAAGAAAGAGCAATTATCACACGTTGATTTTAACTGAAATCTATAGAAAACGTTTAAGTAAACCATTTTTCTGCTACGACTCTTAATGAGTCATGAATATTTTTTTTTCGGCGAAAAATAGGATATAACTAATTTATGAACAGTTAACTATCTAAAAGATATATGATGGTGAACTAATTATGATGTTAAACTAATTATTTGTATAAAAATAGCGGTAAAATTTGAGTTAAGATAAACTTAAGAACATTTTTAGATTTATGTCACAGAGTTCATACAAAGCCTACAGCTTGTAGCAATTATAATTATGGAGATTTAGCATGAGTACGTGTTAACTATTGCTGAACAATATTAATGTGATTTTGTATATTAGTTTAGATATTATATACCCGTTATGAAAAATATAGCTTTTCGTATAATTCTACATTTGATAAAGCCACAACTGTTGGTGAAACTGCATAAAAGGTTTTGCATGCGTGTGCTACGCTAATCAAAGTTGATGACATACCCTTGATATTCGAGGGCGCTATACCACGAGAGAAATTTTTCATCGCCACTTTTTCACTATTTAAAATTTAAAGTACAGAAAAAGTGAGTTCAGGAAAAACTCTAGTAAGTCCTGAAGTTTCTATTGCTGAAGAAAAACTAAAAAATATCAACAATTAGCAAATAAACAGCTAACAAATTATTTGAATAATACGTATACTTTCCCAATACGTAATCCTAAATTAGTCTCTTATAATTAGTTTTTATTTTGATATTTTAAAAAATTTCTTTTCATTATTTGTGACTTTATGAATTAGTGACTGAACTCACTTTTTCCATACTTTAAATTTCAAATTAGTTGTAAAGATCAAAAAGAATTTGGCATTGAAAAGTTTCTGCCGTGGTATAGCGTCCTTTTAACCCTTTGACGCAGATAGGACATCGATGTCCCATTTATATATTTTTTAATGACGCTCTAATTATAAACAAAAATATGTTTTGGTATTTTTCAACTAAAAACAGCATAGTAGTTACTAAAAAAATCAGTCAAATTATCGGAATTAGTTTATTTGTTTCAAAATATAAAATTTAAAAAAAATGGCTTGAAAAAAAAAATTTTTTTTTTTCATATTCAAAAACTAATTACTGATAATTGGAATTTTAAATTAAAGAAATTTTAATGATGTATAACTGTTTTTCTTAGATCTAAATAATTGTAAATAAGTGCAAATTTGAAAAATTATTGTTTTGAATTGAGCCGTGATTAGCAGCATACTTTATGTATAGTAATTCAAATCAATGGCCGTTTAATAATATTATTGTAAAAACGGTATAAAAATAAGATTTGATTTCCAAAAGCAAATATTAGCGATTGAGTCATTAAAGATATTTGTTTACCTAGTTTATAATGTGTGAACTGGAAACAAATATTAATTCAAGATCTTGATTTTTTGCTACTGTATCCGTAATCCGCCCCACTAAGCGCTGTGATTGAATTAAATCAAACAGCGATTCGAAATCCTCTATTTCCACAAGTAGTTGACCGTGAAATTTAACTATTGTTCACAATCTTAATGAAGCACAGAAAGTTACATAGCTTGACTAATATTTTTTTTAGACACACACCTAATGTTTCAGATGAGATTTTTTTTTAAAAATCTGCTACTTCTTTTTATAAAAATTTTTTTAATTATACTTTTAACACACATCATTGGTAACAGTTATGCACTCAGAGTATTAGTTTTTTTTTTCATTTATAGAAGTAGCTGTCTTACAGTTATATTTGAATGTAGCGAATATAGCTGTAGGACACGATCAACGAAGTTATTATAAATGATTGATGATGATTATTATTTACATTATAAATGATGATTATTTACATACATTTAAAGAAATTTTCCCTAAAACTAGTTATGCCTTAACTATGAATTTCCCAGTTGAGTTATGTATTTATATACGTTATTGAAAATTGTACTTTTTGTTTCATTTTTAAATGTGTCTATAATTTATCAAACGACACAACTGATTTTTCAATTAAAAAAACATTTCTTTCAAATAAATAACATTGTGTTTGATTTCTTTTTTTGTTGCATGAGATTTTTTTTACAGGTCTTAAATACTTTCGTATCGCTGATTTCAAACCTTCAATTGGTTTCACTCTACAAGCTACAGTTTTTTTATGGACATTTTGCAATTTTAATAACGTTATGTGTTATTACAGGGGTCTCACAAAATGTTGCGATAAAATTACACACCATCAGGACCAGTTATACACACCAGTTAGGATACATCATCAGGATTAAAACGGCATTGGAACCCATGCTCGGAAATATCGTCATACGCCATAAGGAGTGCTTCCCTATTATAATCTGCTTCTGATCAGGTCATACTAGAAAAGCACCCCCAGTCGTGTACAATGACGTTTCTGAGCGTGGGTTCCTATGCAGCTTTATTCCTGATGATGTATCTCAACTCTTCTAGAAGTGCGTCGCAATATTATGCAACTGTTAAATGTAACAATTTTTGAACTTGTGCATTTCGACAAAAATAAGACTAAAAATGTCATTTAAAAAATATGTTGCTTTAGGAGCAAAACTAATTTCTGATTTGAAATGCTTAGACCCAATTCTAGCGAGATCTAGTATTTGTGAAAATGTAACAAAACGTTTTTTCAGCGTAATATGAACTACAATTATAATGGCTTATTTGGAAACTTAAATCAAATTTACTAGTTCATTACGATTTCTTGCAAAATCACGTGACTATCAGAGAATTAACAATGTTAATACCGACAGACGGTATATTTTTAATACTGTTATCCCAATTAAATGTTGTAATAACTAAAGCAAAAGGCAAAAAAATGTAACTGAGTGTAAGTTACGAAATAAAAATAACTATTATCGAATTTGGTTTTCAAAACGTAAAGAAATAAATTAAAAACACAGAAGTATTTACATTGCCTGTCACTAATTCAACTAAAAGGTATAATTTTTTTTTGTGATTTATTTTTGTGTGTTTTTTTTCCAGCTTTTTTTATACAAGCGTATTGATCATTCTTACAAAAGCAATCATTTTTATGTCATCCTCAAACTTGTTTTACGAATTTTAAAAATTTTTTGAGGTGGAAAAAAGCTCTTGAAGTACATTTTAACAATATAATAAATATAAGAATATTATTTTTTATTATTTTAGTTTTATTATTTTTATTTTTTATAATTTAATTTTTATTTATTTTATGGAACTAAAATATACTAGTTTGTCTTATATAGTCTCACTGATTAACTTAAACAAGAAAATAAGCAATTACTCAGAAGAAAACTAATTAATTGACAGATTTATATTTTTCATTTTAGATACTAAAGCATGGAATTCAAAATCGATTTAATACCAATTTTTTGGAAAAAATATTGCTATAGCATTATTTTAAAGCTGATTCCCCGAGTTTAATGTATCATTTTCTCATAACACTACATTAGCCTCCTAAATAATCAGGGAATAAATTATCTTATTACAAACTTCAATAATTTACAACTAGAAACCAAAAACAACATTTCAGCATGTTTTCTCCTTTAAGTCATTGAAGCTATAAGTTAAAGAGTGTCCCTTGCTTATGAAATCGTTAAATATTTATTGATTATTAAAAATTTATCATGAAATTATTAATTATAAATGTTTTTGTTTTTATCCTTCTTTCGTGTCTTTATTTTTATTTATTAATGAAAAAATAAATAAAATTATACTCAGAAAGTAAATCATTATAAGTTTCCTTCGTGTATGAATATATTTGCATATGATTTATTTTAAAATTGCTATTTTAGCATTTTAATCAATTAGTCATTCCTTCATTGATGCATAAAATAATGGAATGAAGTAAAAAGGAAGCCTGAGGGAAGGAATCTAGAGCATTAATTTCTTAATACATACTGCTTAAAATAAATAGTTCTTACTTTCCTCCTCTGTTTTTCATTTAATTAGTAATTACTATTTATTTAGTTTTTTTTTTTTTTTTGATTTCATGATCTTATCTGAAAATTACTTTTCTCATGAGAATTACCCATATAAATATAATTTAATATATATTTAAAATAAGGCATTTTCAAATTAACATTTATTAAACGCAATACATTAAAAATCCCTATTATTAATACTTACTAAAATTTCAGCTATCTTCTTGGTATTTATGTCCCGCCTCATCTAACATTCTGAGAGCCTGATTGGATTTTTGTTCTAAAACTTCGTCAAAGTTTTCTAAGGACCTCTTTTTTCTTCCAGCTCCAGCAGGAGCTCCTGTACCAGAGAGAGTTGAACTAAAACGATCACGCATTCTAAAATTAAAATAAAATAATTTATTATTACTATAACCTTTAAAAGTCAAAGCGGAATGATATTGTGTGTCACAAATTGAGCAAATGTTTAAATGTTAAAATAATAACAAACTAATGTCTATTGTTTTTTTCGTGATAATAATGTTTTTGTAATATCGATGCATGCATGGTACTATATTTATTATATTACCATATATATTTATTGCTATTGCATTATATACTATTACATACGTACACATATATCTTCTTCACTCCGAATTGGAGCATAGGGTTTTTGTCATAGTTCTCCATTTCACTCGATTTGTGGCTCACTCAATGTCTTTCCTATTGAATTCAATTCACTTACAATCGTCCTGTTCCAGTATTTTTTTAGGTCTTCCTCTTTTTCTATTATCGTTAGGGTTTCAATCAAAAACTTATTTTACTTTAAATTATTTAGGTTTACATAGAACATGACTTATCCATTCCCATTCACGTTTTTTAAATTCCAGTTCAATTGGTTTTTGTTTTGTTAAGGATTTTTGTGTTAAAAATTTTGTGGAACCACTTGATATGTAAGATTCTTCGTAAACTGTTGTTAATAAATACTTGAATTTTTTCTTCATATTATTTTTACTACAGTGTCTCAAATCCATAGAGGGGGAGTGATTTAACATTAGAATTGAAAATTCTAATTTTTGCTGAATTTGTTATGTTTTTGTTTCTTCAGAATTTACTGAGAATAGCGTAAGTGCTAATGGCTTTGTTTAATCTATTTAGTATGTCTTCATCAGTTTCTCCTTTGTAGCTAATTACACTTTCAAGGTAAGTAAAATTGTTTACCTCTTTTAGTTCGTTATTTTCTAAGAAAATTTCCATTAATTGTTTTGTTTTAATTTTCAAAATTTTAGTTTTATTTTGGTTTAAAATAAGCTCCATTTCCTTTGCCTCTGCGTTTAAAATGTCTGTGTTTGTTTGCATGCCTTGAATTTCAGTAAACATAAATCGTCTGCAAAATCAAGATCTGAAAGATATTCAGAAAGGTTCCATATTGTATCCATTTTATTCTCTGATACTCTCTTCATAATCCAGTCAACAGCACTTAAAAAGATTGTTGGAGAAAGTATACAACCCTGTCTAACACTGGAATCAACTTCAAAGGATTCTGATTGTTTGCCGGCATGGATAACTTGTATATTGATATTTATNACCAATAGGCTATCCTGACCTATTTTTATATATATTTCTGATAATGTTTACAAAATACAAACAGTCGACACTTTTTCAAAATCTATGAAATTTAAGTATATTGCTGATTGCCCTTCCATAGATAGTTCGACAATAATCCTTAATGTTGCAATGTGGTCGACATATAATCTACTAGCTCAGAAACCTGCTTGCTTCGGTCGCAGGCTTTTGTCAATTGTATTTTTCATTCTTTCCAGCACTAATTTAGAGAAAAATTTGCTACATACATTTAAATAAGGGAATCCCCTCCAGTTGTAACGCATCGTCAAAACACCTTTTTTGATAATTTTATCAGCAGGCCTTTGACCCAGACATTGGGCCACTCTTCACTCTTCATGATTTTATTAAACAGGACAGTTACTATTTTGATTGCAATTTAAGAGCTTTCTTTGAAGAGTCTACTAGGTAGGTTTTAGCTGCCAGCAGCTTTCCTACATTTAAGCAATTTTATTGCTTGCTGATTTCCTTAAAATGCTCAACCCACTTTTTGAGTTGGTCTTCTTTTAATGTAAGTTTTAAAACTTGTTTGGTTTTTAATTGTCCTCTCAATTGCTCGTCTCTTTCCACTAATTTTGTAAGGGATGTCATAAAGCTTTATTGAGCCATCGTTTCTAATTGCTTTCTCCGCTGATGTGGCCAGATTTTCGTTATATTTCCATTTATCTTGTTTTTCACTTATCTTGCAATTTTTATTTTCCACTTATAATCCTCCCGATGTTCTGGTTTAATTTCACCATGCTCCTTTCCAATTATTTTTTTGTCTCTTTTCACGTCTTTCACAAACTAAGTTATTGATCAGATATTCACTCTTTATCGTCAAATTTCGTCCTTCTGAGAATCTCTTCAGCACTCTCCATACAGATGTTTTTTATTTCTTTCCATTCCTCAAATATTTTCATGTCATTAAAGTCGTTTAAATCCTGAAAATGACTTTTTAAACGAAGTTTAAATTCTTGGCTAACTGTCTTGATCTTTAATTTTTCGGCCATAAAACTTCATGGCATTAAGTCTTAATTTATCGTCATTAAATCGATAGCATTCTTTCTTCATGTAACTTACCTTGATTTTTATTTTACCAAAGACCAATAAATGGTCAACATTTGCATCTGCTCCTCGCATGGCTCGACTATCAAGCAAAAGACCTCTACCATTTTTTGTCGATAGTGATGTAGTCAATTTGATTCAATGTCTTTTTATCGAGAGATATCCAAGTAGCCTTACGGATATTGTGTTGAAACATTACTCCTCTTATTCATAAATTGTTAATGAGACAAAAAATAATAAAAATCTCCCCATTTTTATTCATCCTTCCAAGTTCATGTTTTCCCATTGTACTTTCAATTCCATAGTTTTCTGATAAAACTTTTGCGTTCATCCTCCTGTTTGCTTCCAATTGGTTTTTCCAACCAGGATACATATTTACTGGAGGGGAAATATTTGGTAGAGGGCTTTTCCACTTTAGCGAAACAGATTTGCATGGTTTCAGTTTCCGAAATATGTAAGCTTTTACAAGATTGGGTTTACTACCTTTCCCTGAATTCGGGAAAGTTTTTAATGGAAAATTTTTTTAATTTCCTACAGCGCTGTAAGACAGGATTTCCAAATCACTTTATCGGCTCTTTTTCATATGAACTATATACCACTGGTCGAAATCACATGCAGTTTTAAGTAGCAAAAGTGCATGGTCAATATATGCGCAAACTGTACTGAATAAAATTATTTCTTCTTATTTCTACTTTATTCTACAAATTTTGTCCTTAACGACGTAATAAGACACTTACCTAATTTGTTTTAAGTAACGCTCAGCAGATAAACTTATGTCAAGCTATTTTTCAACTATTAATTTAGTTATTTTTTAGAGATCAAAACCTTTTACTCTTTAAATGTTAAAAGCTTTCATTTTTTTAAAAATATCAAAGCTGTTTTTCTGTAGACATTTAAACCTTTTATTTTTTAGACAGCAAAACCTTTTATTTATTTATTTTTAGATCTCAAAATCTTTTATTCTTTTGATATCAAATTTTTTTTTCAGACCAGTGGTAATCGTAATTTTTATTCTTTAGATATTAAGACTTTTGTTTTTCAGGTATCAAGAAAAATAAACAAACAAATTAATAAAGCAAAAGGCTTTTTCCCTCCTTTTTCTAGAAAATTCTGGCAGCACGATAAAGCTAATAAACTATCTCCGATGTCCCGTTAAATTTCTTTTTTACCGTTTTAAAATTATGGTTGTTGTAAATGATTAAAAAAAAACAGTATAGATTTGTATTCACGGTTTTTAATCATACAATGTGTAAACGGTTTCAAAATCGTAAAGGTAAAAAATTTTCATTACTGTTAACTTTACGGTTAAATGGGTGGACAGACTGCTGTCGGTTATTTTACAGTTATTTTAAAATAAAAATTCTAACAGTGTATTACTACGCTTTATTTATGCCCATTGTAGTAATTGCGTATCCAATTAGCAGAGGGTGTTTTTTTATTTTTATTTTATAACCGTCGTTGAACATCCGACCCAGTTGTTTGGGCTTATGACTATTAATGCTCAACGACGTAGCCTTGTAATTTTGAATCCAATCCAGAAGACAAGGGAACTCCTGGATCAAGTATTGAGAGAAATTTGCCTTCGTGGAGGACTTTTCGATGGAACTAACCCACATTTGCGTTACATGGAGAGGAAGACCACGAGAACCTCCCACGGTTAGCCAAACTGCAAAGGGACTCTAACCCATGATCCGACTACCACTGAGGATATTTCGCGTCAACATTGTGGTCCGTGCAAGTTGGATGTGTATTCGTTTCGACCAGCCCTCGATGGGGATTCGAACCCGGTTCACCTCATTGGAAGGCGAACGCTCCATCCCCTGAACCATCGCTGCTCTAGCTCGAGGATTGGTTTTAATCAGCCAATTTAACTACCAGTAACGCGTTTCGAAAGATTCAAAAAATTCATTTTCATTGTCGACAGTTTCAAGTGCCGCGGTACCCAATTTTTATTTATTTATTATTATTTTTTTGGCTATTTTTTTTTGGCTATGAAATCCTAAATGATCAAGTATCTTTTGGTAGAACTCCAAGTTTGTGAATCATATTTAGTAGCAGCTATGAATATACTAACCAAAGAAAGACTACAGTTTGTTTTGATAATACTTAATGAGAATAATTATTTTCAAATAATGGTCTTAAAACGCTTAGGTCAAACAGTTAAATTCACAGGCCTGGAGTGGCATCGAATCTAGTTCTGAATGTATTTTTGGGGCATGTCTTATTATAAAAACGTGCATAAAGTACGCTGAATTATACTCTTCGCCAAAGAATTGATATTAACGTTGATAATGGTTAACAGGGAAACGTAACTTTTTAGAATTTGCTCATTTAATTCTGAATTGATAAGTTTGATACTGCTCCGAAGTTTTTCAGTAATTTATCCAATATATATTGCTATTAAAAGAAATACTTAAAAAAAATAATATCATGAAATAAATAAAATATCAAACAAATTATGATTTATTGTTCGGATATAAGTATCAAAAAGTTTCAAAAATCCTTGCTGCTTAAAAAATGTGAGCTCTCGGAAACCTGGTGATCATTCTACGGAACCCTAGGGTTCTGTGAAACACCATTTGAGAATATGGTGTTCCGCAGATGCTAGTGCATCGAGAATACTCGGATGGTGTGGAGAAAACAGTGATCGGGGAAACTGAAAAATTAGCCTTGAACTAGCTTAGCCTTATTGTTTCTCTGCCATCGAAGTCAGACTTTAGCTCAAATTACCATTCACTGAATAGCAACAACCACAGTATATCAGTTATCACAACTGTTTCATGTGAGCAATACTGAGGAACAGCGCGACACAATTTATGTAGAATCCTCAATTACTAATTCTATGGCATCTCAGAGTAATTCAAAGAATTTACACTAATTTCCTCACCTGACTTGCAAATCAATTAGCATTCTTCTGCAACAGTGATTGTAAGTAACTTATAAATATTATTCGAAGATAAAGTTCTTAAACTGAATAGTGGTTTAAAAAACATTATATTAAGCTTTCACAAGAAGAAAAGAATGATTAATTATTTTAAGACTGCTTCCATTAAATCAAGAATTATTCACTGTTTACCTGTTGAAAAACATAGGAATTCTTCCCATCATATTAGCCATGCCAATCATGAATAATATAGGTTGGACGAGTGCACCAAGCGTAGATAATCCACCGATAAACTGTTTTTCTTCGACAGCTTGTCTTTTTGATCTTGAAAAGGTTTCATCAGACGGCCGGCAATATGCTTCAATTATTAGAATGGCAAGAACAGTAGTTATGAAGATGTACTTTTTCCAAGACAAATTCATAGTTGAATCTGAAAATAAGTTAATTTTATAATTACGTTTGTCACTATGGATAAATTAATTTCGATTGGCTATCACCAATAAAAGTTTCCTCACAGGGAATTTAAAGTATGATGAACCGCTTAAAAATGTGCAATTATTGATTCTTATTACATCTATTTTTTTTCATTATTTTTTTAAAACTTTGTTTGCTTATTTGTCCAAAAAAATTTCATAGATTCATAATTAAATATCTTCAGTAAATGCACATAAAACAGTTTCTTTCCTTGCATATGTTTACACATTCAATTTATTTATTTGTGAAAGTCTTTTTTTTGAAAAACCATAGCAACCATAATAACAAAACTATATACAAGTAGCAAATATAGATTAAATTTATCTATATTGTCTGCCTAATTTTTTGTTTTGTTTTCAGGCTCGTTTTAATGGTATTAACATATCATGTAATATTATTTAAACACGGTTTTTAAAAATTTATTAAAATTCATTAAATAAATAGCAATTCAATCAATTACAGTAATTTTGGGGCTAACCCATCATTCCTTATACAAATAAATTCTATCAACAATACTGTAACTGTTAAAAAAGTCACTTGCCTTTTAAACTTGTCCAAAAAATTTAAAACAAAGTTTACAAAAACAAAACGAAAAACAAATGTATAGTGAGTTTATTTCTTAATAGCTACTAATACGTGATACTAAAAAAAGCATGAAGGGTAAATTATTACTTTTTATCCCATTCTACTATTAATTCTTGTAAATATAGTCTGGCAAATTTACTCTGCACAAATAAAAATTTAACGAAGATCTATTCGTTAAATATTCAGTATCTAAAATTTCGTAATTGCAAAGAGTTGCCGTCCGGTAGAATGTTTATTACCATGTTCTACTGGTAATTAGCATTCTACTTTTCCCTTATTTGAGAAAGAATTACTTTTATTTTTAAGTTAAAATTGAAATAATTTCATGCAGATTTTATAAGAACTTTCGTTATATATACATGGTGATGCAGCACAGCGATTACAAACTTGAAGGGGAAGTAAGTAACGCCAAAGGAATTGAGACTTTGCATGGCAGTCCAAGGTCGAAAATGTCATCGTTCACCACTAGGGGAGCTTTTTTATTGTAGATTAACTGTTCGTGGACATTTGAACCATTACATGATTTGCATTAAAATTTAACTGTTTTGTCATGGTTAATAGATTCGATAATTAAACAGTTAACAAATTACTATGCCTATTTGAATGCAGTTTTTGACAATAACTATTAGAAAACACGAAACTTACATAAGAAGCACTGAATTTACTTATTTATTTTTTAAACGAAGGGTTCAGGGAAACATATAGGAATAAAATGCGAGAATCGTTAGAGAAGAAGAAATATTTGCTAACTATTTAAAAAGCCATATTTCGTTACAAAGCAGAGGATTCAACAATGGGCACGATAACTAATAATAATCGATGATAATCGAGCCTGTAAAATACAATCTTATGGCTTAAATCATTTGATATCCGATAAGGAGAAACACTAAAACTTAGGAAGTTTAATGTTCAATTCCGAGGACTCCATAGCCAACAAGGGAAAACAAGGGAACTCCAGGATCATGCATTGGAACAAAATAGCCTTCTTTTTGATGAACTATTCCACAATTTCGTTACAAGGAGAGGATACTCACATTGCGTTCCTCGAAAATCTCCCTTGGTTAGCCCAACGACAAGGGGATTCTAACCTATGATCCTTCTACCACTGAGGACATTTATGTCATTGAACTATATACTTAAAAAAGGTCTACAAACTATTAATTGGCAAATTGAAAAACCTTAATCTAGAACAGGATGGCTTGGTACTCTGAGAAAGGTCCTACCTGGGTTGCCACACCAATGATGAAGGCGCGATTCTTTATATGAAATAAGTTATTAAATACTCTTGGCACATAAAATTTTATTATGTTAATACGTTTTACTTTTCCCATAATATGCATTATTTTAAACATATAATAAAAAATGAATTTAGACATGTTTTTTGAATGGTAGAAAGCCTAAGAAAAGTTATTCCATAAAATATTGATATATAAATATACAATCCATAAAAAATACATATAAATTTCTTAAAAATTTGCAAACATAATTTAAATTGGGAGAGCAAAATTTCTTTTTTATTAAGAGGAAATACGTATCCATAATTGGGACTGGTTTGCGATTTGTTTATTTTAGCTGACAACAGGATAAATGAAGAGGGGCAGTATTTTACTGTTTCAAAACATCAAGCGTTTTCCACTTTTAAACTGGCAAACAAAACACTCCATTTGTTTAATCAACTCTTCTAAAAAGCTATTTAAATATATTTAACCGAATCGTGCCAGATTCGGAAACAAGTTTAAATCCTTTGTCTCCGCATTTCATCAATTGTTAAGCTTGTTTTGTACTTTTAAGGGTTTGAATAAATATACTTCATGCTTTAAAAAGAAAAGTGCATATTAAATAAATTTGAAGTTCTATTAACACCATAACCTTAGTGTCAGTTTATATACTCAACTCAAAAAGAAAAACTTAAGCAGCTGAAAAAGTAGTTTTTGAAAGGGAGGACTAAAACTAGTAATGAATTAAATGAATAAAAACCTTGACCGTGCGACTTTCCTTTTTTGTACTAATGGGCATTGACTTTCAGGTAAGCGACGTCACTGGCAATAAGACGCCGGTTGTCATAAGTAGGGCAATGGATGCTGTTAATTTCGGATTCCACTATGAGGCGACTCTAAAAGAACGTTTGAGATCAACATCCCCTTCTTCGAAGGAAAGTAAAAAATTTAGGTCAGCCCCCCTTCCTACAGTGTGTATGTTTATAGTTTCACTTTTTAACTTCGGTTTCTCCCACTACGTGATAAGGAAAAAATTATCGACAATTAGAATGAAAAAATGCAGGGGTGGAACGCGGCCTACCCTTTGGCAAGTTATGTCTAAACGGAAGATGGTAAAAATGGAAAGTAAAAAATAACCGACAAAAAAAATGAAATTTGTTAGCGAGTTGCTGAAGCATAAGATGACATTCATACTAAAAAGAAATATGAATTAGTATTTGTTTGATAAAAGCTGAAAATAGATGAATGTTATAAATAATGGGCGTTGTGTTGAATAGTATAGCTCGTTGACCATAATTTCAATGCAACTTGTAACGAATTGTTTCTTATTATTTATGCACGAAATAGAATATTCTTTTTTTTTTATCAGCAATTTGCTTTTATAAATAAACAATTTAGTTTGATTATACGAGAAACAATCTATTTTTGATAGAGTAATTATAATAAAGAAAAAAAAGTTCCTTAGTAATTTACTAAGAATTTACTTATCTACACCATGTGATTTGCAATTTATTCTTAATAATTTTGTTGCAGTTATCTTACCAATTGAAAACATAACAAAAGTGCTTTAATTTTCCACTAGCTGCTCTTAGGGACAAGAATCAATATTTTTTATTATGTTCACAAAATTTTGCATAGCATGTTTTTATAAAGAAATCTAAATATATTTTTAGGAAGCAGGTATATGTATTTCAATACAATAGAGTTCATTAAGCAAGATTTCAAAGTAAAATGTAATAAAATGTTTCTAGTACGCAGAATATGCACAATTTTTTTAAGACAGTTTGTTTTTTATATTTGTTATTATATTTGTTTTTATATCTATGTATATAAATATATATATTTTGCTGACTTTGGTTAAATGTGAAATACTATTTCGTATATTTATGATAGGAAATATAGATTACATTTTTCTTAGTTCAAAGAAACTATTTATTAACTACGCAGAGTTTTTAATTTACTATTTGACATGGAGTTTGTCATAATTATCAACTAAAAGAGATTTTTAATTTTTGCAGAACAAAAGTTTTATTTTAAACTTGCTTTTTACAGAGACAAATATCAATCTGTTTTATCGGGTAAAAATTACTGCTTCATATAAATGTTTAATGCATTCAAATGGTGGTTAAAATCATTCTAAATAGAATTTTTAAATTCAAAACTAAAACAGAAAAGCATATATTTTGCTATAATTTTAAATACAAAAATAAAATCTCCTGAAAAATTCTTAAGAGTTAGTAGCTATGCAGTTAATTGATTCCACTGATATTCTTTAAACTTTGGTCAGTATGTTTGTTTCATGAAAAGAAATAATACATGACAGATAATAATAAAAAATTACGATGTTTCGGTCTTTCTTTAAAGGTTAATTAAAACCTCATAATTAAAATAATTTAACTGACACATCATTTAATCCTATTAATGATAATCCTAGTTTATAAAAATAAATGTAGCATAATAAATTTATGCTACATATTATTTTATTATTCATATTAACAATTAAAATAAAATAAACAGCTGTTCCGTTATGTAGCTAAATTAAATCTAAAATCGAAATTAACATTAAATAAAATAAATTTGCGAATTATATTTAATACATTAAAAATAAGCATAAACCCATTTTTTACAATTTTATTAACCTAGTTTCAGAGCTAAATATTCCCACATAAAATATAAAAATTTAACGCGATTAATTTTTAATTTATATTATTTATATCAAATACCTATAAATTTAAAAATATTTTTTTTTAAAAAATTACTTTCATTAAACTTCTAAAAAGAAATAAGACTCATTAAAAATTTTGAAACCATATAAAAATAGTTAATGAGCAATATATTTATTATTATTTACATCGTTGTTTTACTTATCCTTGAATAATAACGATCCACTTAGAAGCATGATATAAGTTTCAACTTATTTGAATAGCTGATAATATATTATGCAACGTTACGAATAACTTTCCTTATTGCTAAATATAAACCTGAATAGAAGAAACAATACGTTTAATTAATTACGTATCAATTAATTCGAACTTCCATTTTATAAACCATTAAAATTTATCACATGATTTAAAATACGCCCTAGATTTATCGAAAAATAGATATCACCTATTACTTTCACTTCGAATCCAAACCTATTTCCCCTCTGCGATTT